ACATCGAAACACACACATGTACATACATGTATATACATACATCCATATATATACACACACACACACACACACACATATATATATATCGATTCTTATGTCGACATAGCCATACTTTTTCTTATCCTCTTCATGTCGTCGTTTTGCACATATCCGTCTTGTCATATTAGGCGTTGCAGACACACAATCATCAAGTATATTGCATTATGCACTGTTTTCGTATGTTTAATGTTCAATGATTACTCAGCTTCTGTGTACACTCCTCCCTTTTTTCATTGGCATCTGCTTTGTGTTCTGCGATTATAAAGATGTCATTTCGTGTCAAAATGTGCAGGGACGTGTAACGTCGAAGAATTTAACAGTTTTCGTTATTGTCGTGCCCATATGTGACTGTTGTATGCTGAGTAGACCTAAAAAGCCTCTACAGGGGCCTCCTATATGTGTCACACTTACTTTATTGCATCATGCCATGTCATGTCTTGTCATGTCTTGTCATGCCATGTCATGACATATCATGTTTTGCCATTTCGTGTGATGTAATGTAATGTAATGTGATGTGATGGAATGTAATGTAATGTGATGTGATGCTATGATCGCCGGATGGTGTGCAGTTGTCGTCCGTGTTTGCACCTTGAAGACTGAAAGTTCTGCTCACACACTCAAAAGACTGTCCGATATCTATTATTTACACGTCATGTCCGGATACTCTTCTTACCATCCTTCTCTATCTTTTACTACCCTCACAACGAATCGTGTCTGATCATACACATCCAACATTGGCGGATGGTTCGCAATCTTCGTCCGTGTTCTATGTTAAGAGACTGGTATCGTCTCAAAAAGCTCCGCACACGCTATGTCGATACACTTCCAACTTCTTATTCATCTCTGTATACTCTAATACCTGCACAATAACATATCGTTGCCTATCATGCAGATACAACAATACCGGATGATTCGCAGGCTGCGTCTGTGTCGTATCTTGAGGGACTAATCTCCACTCAAATGCTGCACGGTAGCAATATTGAGGATAGCGCGAGTGATGAGGTATTCTACGGATTGACACCTCCTACTTAGAGAGAAACGTCTAATACATGCACTACACCTCTGTTGTTTGTGTTAATGGGATTCGTCTTGCCATTGTCAGACTGGGTGTGTCGATGATCTCTAGGTGTCCGAAGTTTACTCTTATTGTACGTAGTAAGATTTATTTATTCCTCGAACGACCTTTATAATTCATTGAAAGATTACCTCGCTGGATCGTTTGGTGCAGGATCTGTACAGCCCCATTCTTCATACCTACATATAAGGAGGATCCCAGTGCTCCTTACGCCTCTGCATATGCTTATATAGGAAGTAACGATCTATTGATATGTGTGTGGTATAAAAGCATTGAAGATTATTACTCTAGGTGCTCCCAACTTGTTCCTCACGAGTGCACTAGTGTACCCCAACCTTGCCCTGAAAAGACTGTCATCAGCGGATTGATATGGTCATCAATCTGCGAATGTGTATGGACACGCAATTATATATATATATATATATATATATATACGCACACACACACACACACACACACACACACACACACACACACACAACACACACAC